GTAAAAGTTCTCTCATGCCTGCATGAAAACGCAATGCAAATGTCTCCACTTATAAACACACAATGATGCCTCTGTTTGTTCCAGGTAATCCTGAGTACAGAAAATAGAGGCGTGTTATCATGGTAGCATGAAAGCTTTGCATTGAAAAACACCTCCGAGGTTAAAACTCTACTGACTCACTCCGTGCTGCACTGAGGGGCATCAGCTGTCCTCACAACTACTGTAAACCTGTTTGCTACAGCCGACTGTTACAGGGAGCACGTACGCCTTACTGTAGTTCAGCACAAAGTCCACTCCCTTCTCACTGTCAAACTGGATGTCCCGGGGCAAATCCTTGTGTCTGTTAGCATCTATGCTCATAGGAAAACCTGGCTGCCACTCCTTCCATCTACAAAGGACAGCAATTAGTAGATATTAGTGAGCAGCCTCAGTCTCCTACAACATTCAACCACAAATATGCATGTATAGAGTGAACTTGCCTGTAGGTTTTTCTTCTCATATCCAGCTCTTTTTGTCTGTGCTGCTTGACCAGGCTGGTCTTATCATCCTGAGGCAGATGTGCTACAACAGACACAATACAAAGAGAGGGATGGAGCAGAGCATGTGTGTTTAACTTACGTTTTAGCACAGCAGACTCTGTGTGATGACAAAGAGTGGACAGGTAGTCTGTTAGGCTTTACCTCTTCCATCACGTAGCACCACTTCCTTGTCATCCACCAGCCAGCGGAAGCAGGGGAACTCCACATAGTCCCCAGATGGGGTCTTGACTGTGATGTACCTACAATACCAGTCATCATGCACCCAGTACTTCTTTTTCTCAATCTTCACCAACACAATGTCACCCAGGTCCTCCCCGACCCTCACGTCATAGGAGTCCACCTGCAATAAAGTTGGTGGTTCAATAAATATGCAGTATGTGCTGGAAAAATTGTGTAATTCACTGAATCAACTGAATGTCACCTGTGCTTTATGTAAGACACATGTATTTCACAGGTAATAAGACACAGGAAAGAGTAGTTTTGGGACATTTCAAATATGCAAAAATGTCACTTAATACAGGCGCATGCAGACTATTTTATTTCTTGTGCTTTACGAAAAAACTTTTATTACTTTCTTATATCACTTAATCTTTAAGCATTCTCTCTGGAGAATAAACTAGTGGCAGAGGTTGAATTAGTCAAGAATACATTTCAGTGACATTGTAGAAGGACCTCCATTTACATCACATCTTATGTACATTTCTGAATGGTGTACAGTAAAGATACCAAACCTGCCATGTAAACCTTTACTTAATAGAACATCCTAAATAAGAAAGGTTTTCCATTAAAATGTTTTGTTTACAGCAGCAAACATTTTCTTTATTTTTTCCAAATAAGGGACAAGTATTATTTTCCCTCCAAAATACAATTTTAGAACAGACTCAAGTTACATCTCTGTCAAAATCTTCTTCCTTTTATCTCAATACCTGCAGTGTTTGTTTGCAGGTGTTGATGCTCATCACTCATCAGAACATAAAAATGAATGCAATTGTCACACAATCGTCCTCACAGCTCTACAGCAGTGTAACATCACTTACCGCCCCCCTCTCAAAGTCATTGTACAGAGGTTTGTCCAGCAGTGTTCTCTCGCTGCATCGCTCCGTGCCCACCAGCGTAATGTAGATATAGTCATCTGTCCCTGCGAACCACTGGCTCCCAGTGGAAACTGTCACTGTGTAAGCAGGCATGGCAGTCAAACAGGATGAAGAGGACTCAAAAAATGTCCAACTGCCCTCTGAAGATTCTATTGCCCACAAAAAGTAAAGCAAAGTTTCCCCTTTTCTCTCAAAACTTCTTTAACTGATTTACACTTGTACCCATTTCTCTTGCACAAACGCCAAGGAAGTGTGTAATCAGGCAGAAGAGGGAGGTACAGAACACAGACAAGCTCTAGCCCCTCAGTGATGAGAGATCTCCACCCTCATGCTGCAAATGAGGTCAGAATATAATATCACTGTCCCTCCTAGATGTGTTATCAATGGCGATTCAGGTGTACAGACATGAATATGGGCAGATGAAAAGGTGAGTGCCAGGGATCGATTTCAAATTAATTGTCTGCAAAGCACAGGAGTGTTTTATAAAAGCATAATAGAATACATTCCCGCATTACAGACAAAAACAGAGAAAGCCAGAGTTTTAATTCAGTCTGACCGTATTTTACTGATGATGTGATAATGAACATAAAGGGACATGTGAGCAAACACGTCTTTTACACATCACATTTACCAGTCAAATCAGCGTGTGACATCGAACAACAACAGGCAGTGTATTTCGGCTGAAATAAATGCAAATGCAACATCGAGTCCCCCTGTGGCTTTACAGATGAAACTGTAACACCAATTTTAACAGGGGTTGGTAGTATGTGTGCAACTCAAAAGTGGGAAGTAGAATTAACTTGTTTCTGTTTTACAAGTTTGATTTAAAACCTTTTTTACTCTCTCTAGAAGTATTAAAACACACCTACTGCCCCTTCTCACTCGGTTAAAGACAGTTTCCAGACAAAATAAAGATACAACGGTTGGTACTGTTTTAAGAAGGTGACATAATGTATAAATTCAAACACTGCTTCTAAAAAAAACAAGGCAGGCAAAGCTGAACATGTACAAAGAGAGAAAATTAAACTGACAAAAAAAGGCATTTTAATTGTTGAGTCATTCTCACATCAGTGTATCTTCTTTCAGTCATCTACCCCAGACTGATAAAGTAGCACAGCACACCATTACATACATTTGCATGGATCATTTTGGAATATTTCTCATTTTACATAACTATCTATTGCAGTGAGCAGCTGGAACAGAACTGATCTGTTTTCTAAACCCAAAAGAAAAACAGCAATAACAGTGAAAGATCATGTATTTGAAACCCAGACATCAAAAGAGCAGTAAATGAAAGCTTCTAAACACAGCAGTTCAGTTGAATGAGTGGCACCATAAAATGCACCAAAAAAAAATGTTGAAAACTATATTTTGTTTCCTAAATGGTAGCTACCACTTACCACCAGTGGGAGTGTGTGATTATACTCTTAAGCCCAGGCAGGTAGGCACAGTTGGATACTGGAGTTCAGTTATTGTTACATACAGTTGGCAATCAAGAGTTACATTGGAGCCTCTTATTTACTCACACTTGGGAGAGCTTTATGTTCAGAGATTTTTAGACTTTTGTTCAGCAACAACTTCCATCCAACTGAGGAGCTGCTAAGAGGTAACCGAAGGCTATTGATATCCCACATCCTCCGCAGTAAAACGGGTTTTAAAGTGTTCAGCAGTATGAGTGTGAATTCTCAGTATATATTTTAATATTCTAGAGCAGTAGTTCCCAATCTAAGGGGTCTGGACCCCTCCAATGGGTCACATGATTAATCTCAGCAGCCACAATATGATTAAACAGTAACTCAACACCATCTTCAAAACCTAAAATAAATGCATTTGAACCCTGACATACCATCACTGCCCACGCAGTACAACCGCTGACACACCCACCCCCTGTCTGAATTTTAAAAATGATAATATAAATCACTGTTTATGCTTTTTCTTATTTTTTGGGGGGTAAAAATACTTTTTAAATGTGTAATTAGTAATTCTTTTACATTATCTGAGCATGCATATTTTGTGCAGGAAGTCAGTCAAGGGAACTTGGGATCCCAGTGACATTTTGCATATTAATAATACAATAGGTGCCCTTGAGTAAGGCAACCTAACCCCGCTGGTAACGCGGCAGCCCCATCACTCCA